TATATGTATATATATATAACCATTATACAGCAGCTGTGTTCACGAGTGAAGGCGAAGAACAATGAGTAGTCGAGAGGTTATTTAGCCCCAAGCCATGAAGCACAGAGTATGGGATTAAGGAAAGACGCTAGCATTGAGTCATCTATCTGTCCATCGACGATGTGATCGACCTAAATCTAGGACCAGACGAGCATTCACCCGGTAGAAAGCATATGCCTAATACGAGTAAATCTGGGGGAAATAGCACATGTGCGTGCATCTGTAGGGGAAGCGGAGAAAGTTGCACACAATTAAGAATATAAGTCTAGCGGTGATAAATACAGTTGAAAAACCTAACCAACTACTGTTGTTGTTGTCGTCGTCTTCGGCTTCTGGGGGCGATCGGACAAACACGACGAAAACTTGCCGGCGAGTGACAATGGAAGAAGCGTTCGAAAGCTGCATTTGGAAGTAATGTGGTAAACAACTAACAGCACACATACAAACATGTGCACAAACGGGGCAGCTGGTGTGTGTGTGTGTGTGTGTGTGTGTGTGTGTGTGTGTGTGTGTGTGTGTGAAGGTTCAGGCATATGTTGCGATAAAACTGAAACAAATGAATGGTAAGTTGCCGTCGAGTAGGTAATTCCTTAACAAGGCACAAGCGAGTGGCTAGTCAGGTCGCCAGAGACAAATGTAAATAAGGCAGATAAGCTCACCTGTATTGAACTCTAACATGAATGGGCTATCGGAAACTTCAATGGCCTGGAGATTGTTGTGACTGTCATGCGTGGAAACCAAGGCGTGGCTGGTCGCTCTGACTGAGACAACCCGATAGATAAGGCTGACAGATGGGCTAGGACTCGTAGCGTCTACGGTTGTGATTGCCTCTCCGGTAGATGCGGATTCGGGAACTGTGGCCGTGTAGTGCGGTGCAGAAAATCGTGGGCCATCGCCAGAGACCAACTGGATAACGACCGTGGCAGATGAGGAGAGTCCGCCGCCGTCTACAGCTAGCACAACTGCTTCCAGCTGACGCCCAGTCCAATCGGGTGGGATAAGTCGGACGAGAGACAGCTCGCCGTTTTCCGTGTTTATGGATAACAAAGGCGGTTCTGCTCTGGGTCTGATGCTTGCCAGACTGAAAGTAACGGATCCGTTGGAACCTTCGTCGCGATCCACGGCAGTAACCTAATGAGTAATGGCCACCAGCGAATAACACGTTATATGGGATAACAGCACACGCACTTAAAAGGCACACTCACTTGAGCAATTAGGTCAGTAAAACCAACGATATCTCAACATGATTGCAACCCTTTTTCCAGTTAATCGAACATGACGGTACATTCCATGAAAGGATAAGCATCTTGGTGGAGAAGCACTTGCTACGGTCGGGACTATTAGTCTACCACAATTAAGTGAGCAAAGGCTTTCTAAAAGCAAAAAAAAATTTTCAGAGTAAAATTTGGACAGCCTCCCCACGGGAATTATCCAGCTAATTATGTTGTTTCCACCCCTCGAAATTACATGAACCCTCACTTTCGTGTGACACTTTTTTGCTAACTATCACCCACTGTTCGTCCTCTTGACTTACTTCCTCGGAATTGGACCGGGTTACGAGTGCTCGGGTCATTACAGATAAAAAGCACTTGAACTATCATGCGCGGGCATCTATTCCAGGCGGATGAGATGTACAAATAGGGAAACTAATTTCCGCGTTCATGGATAGTTTTCCCAACACAACCTACTTGGAATGACATAATCACTGCACAATATACAGTTTTTGGGAAAATAAAGGGAGTCTGGCCAAGGTGAGGTCTCATTGCGATTGCACGGTAAACCGAGAGTGTACTCCCAATAAACGAGTGTTGGGAACAAGGCTTAAAGTCAATTTTCCCTTTGGATACACTCACAGGATAAAAGCTTTGATAGCAGTCAAAGACAAGATGAAGGTATACCTCAGGCCAGTTTTAAAGTGCAATTTGAGTAAAAGCGGGATGGTCGGCTGTCGAAATGGGCACGATTATTGGGTAAAATGATGTGGGGCAACTTCACTTTTGTGGCTCATTCATGAAAGACAATAGCGCACAATGCAATCAGAGAGAGCTGATAAAGTGATTACGGATTTCATTATCTATAATATAGTTTGGTAGGAAATATTCACATACGGGAGATAGTTATGCCTGGTTGTACGATTTAGCGGTCACACGTGTTGCGTGTTTGGCTCATAGACTCGCTTAAAGGTAGACATTAACGAGTCTGGGTTCGAAACTCAAGATCTTTGCAACTCACTGACGAGTAAAACGTTCATACGAATGGTGAACACGGTGATGTTTGCAACGGCCTAATGAAACGAAGCAAGCCAGTAAATTTACCACTCTATCTCTCACCAGTAAAATGTGCGGAATTTGAAACGGCTAATGAAACGAAGCAAGCCAGTAAATTTACCACTCTATCTCTCACCAGTAAAATGTGCGGAATTCCAAAAAGATGTGCCACACCATAAGGGTGAAAGGATTTAATAAAGATCAGGCACGAAGTAATACTACCGAGTGACCAACCACAATACCGATGTTGATTGGGCTAAAACACATCCAAAAGTTCAAAAGGTCTCGAGCACGTGATATGAAAACAGTGCTGAATTAGCGCAGTTAACTTCAACTGCATGGGGAAATGATGGACTTCTGGACAATTTAAGATACAGTAAGGGGCTAGATGTAAAAGCACTAGTAAAACACCGTGGAACCTCCGGTGGGAAGCGCTAAGACAATGGTAGTGGTAACAAGGGAAGGGACAAAGTACCTTGTAGTTGTTCTGTCGGCATGCGGTTTCCCTGTCTGTTGATTTCGGTCGACTTGTCATGGCCACTGAGTTAAGACAAAACATGGTATGGTACGGGAGGCCGACAAACATTGGTGCATGGTCATTTACATCCAACAATCGTATACGCACAACCCCACGACCCATTCGATTGTGCATATCACGCACAAGAATATGCATTACTAGTTTTGGAGTAACTTCACGATCTAGTTCATCGGGTGCTTGATTGCCGGTGGCCAGTACGGTTCCAGTGAGACTGTCCACATCCAGACCAGAGATTGGCGTGAGAACGACAAATCTGAAATCCGAAAGTACAAACCAAAAGAATGAAATCAAAAGAAACGGGATCGATGGACTGCTTTCCCGAGATGTGTTGACCAACTCACCTGTAAATAGCACCAACGGGTGCATCGCGGACAAACAGCTGACCCAGGCGAAGCGGTTTGGGCTTAGAGTAATGTTCCACCAAATCGACATCAAGTCCACCTTCAGGCTCGATGATTAAAGATGTTTGTTGGTAATCGGCGCCGGTGGATGACGCAGGAAGTTGCGCGAATATGGTGACATTGGTATGCGTGGAGTGAGGTACGGGACGGCGCTGATCAAATGCTTCAACCTCGACTAAAAAATTGTATTCACGCTGCAACGTAGGAGAGTTCAGCAAAGTAGAATTCGGAGCAACAGAAAGTTTTCCGCTCTTTGAGTCGATGGCGAACAGGTCAGCATCACTACTTGGAATGATGCGGTAAGAGACCTGAAACAGATTGTGATTCAATGAATTGAGTGATCCTAGATTTTATCATTGCAGCGAACGAATCTGTTGAAAACAATGAGAAGGAACTTACAACAAATGTAGCTAAGACCGAAATCTCTCATCAGCATCGGGACCAACCCCCCACCTGCGCTACAGACCAAGCAGTTGGGCAAGAAACATTTCCTATGGCTTGGAAAATGTGCTCCTTAACGCACCTCCAAATTATGCTGATTTTTGACTTTTCGCCAGAATACCGACAGCCTACGTATCTTTTCGGTTTGGTGCCCTAATAACTAGTGGTAAGCCTTAGAATTGGAGTGTTCTAGGTAGCCGAATGAAACGGAAATGCAAAACTATCGACCACGTCATCCTAGGTAAGATTTGTCATATGCTTCATCTGATTCGGAAACACATTACATATCCCCCAACATCATAACAGGAAATATAGGTAAGGAGGTAAAGCAATTAAAGTCACAGTCAAATTAACTTGTCACGAGGTAAATGATAACTGACAAGTGACGAAGTAGCCAGGTCAACAAAGATTTTACCGAATCATTGAGATCTGGATCGGTGGCAATCAGCTGAACGATTTGTGCTGAGGGATACGTGGGCAAAAGCAGAGTGCGCATATAGAACGGCTCGCTAAAGACCGGAGGACTATCGTTTACATCCAGTACTTCCACGTCTATTCGGACGAGATTTTCCGCCGTACGCACCGGAGATCCAGAATCTGAGACTTGGATTACCAATAGATGGTGCGATGCAGACTCACGATCGAGTACAGCGCCTTCAGCTAGACGGAATAGCCCATTAGCCGGATCAATGTTGAATAGTTGACCAGATTCTTGTGCCTGTGGGCCAACGAACTGAAATGTGATGTGTCCGTTCAGACCAAGATCCGGGTCTGTGGCAAGAAGCTGGATCGGAGTTGACTCGGACTGGAAACAGGGTTTGTCGGTACAACGAAGCATGATCAGAGTTCCCGGTCGGGCATCCTCCGATATTTGTCCAAGTAGAAATCGGGAACTTAAGATGCGTGGAGCATTGTCATTCTGATCAAGAATTTGGACCTATCGTAGAAAAGAAATGGGAGAAAGTTGAAATGCCAATAAAACTGAATCATTTAGAAGTAGCAATCGTTATAGCAATCTTGTTACAGTTAATTCGACGGGAATAGTCTTCCAAAAACCAGTAAACCAACGTTTACCCGTAAATGAAGCTCCTAGTTAGAGAAAATTTAGCTGGTGTTGAACAGCTTGGGCCTAATTCATAATTCTGAGTATTGTACTCACCTCCAGAGTTAAATAATCGTCTATTTCAGCCCGAATTCCATGGGAACCACGTACTCGGACCTGAAGGCGGTACAAGTCACCATGGTGCTCACGGTCCAATGAAACCAGAGTGACCAGCAGTCCAGAATCCGGAGTGACGTGAAATAATTCCACCGTGGGCGATCGACCAGAAGAAATGAAATGGCTCGAGGTCGAATTCTCCACACCCATTCTTTCCGAAAAGACCAACTCAAAATGAACGAATCCAAACAATGCAGATTCCGGAGTAAGGAAACGAGATATTGTTGCAATGATATGACCGGGTGAACAGTTTTCTACTACGGAAACGTGTACCGTACCGGAAGGCCGGAACTTTGGTGCAACTGCATCTATCCCTCCAGGTCCAGGTACAACGCGGATCCACACGTCGGTATGGTTACTCCGAGAAACGGGTTTTCCATTGTCTTTGGCGGATACAATGAGGCGGTGCGCACGCGTCCATGGTTCTGATGAAAGTTCAGATCTGAGTGCAATACCTAAAGATTGGCTCCTAGGTAATAAGGGTTTGGCAAGCTTCACATCACCTGTGAGTGAATCAATCTCGAAATAGTTTGCAGTATTGCCTGAAAAAAAGCATAAAATGAGGTGGTAAGCTACGTCAGCAGAGGCGCACATTTTCATTAAAAAAACATTCGGTTTAAGGTAGGCAACTTACCACCAATGATACTGTAGGTGATTTTACCATTTTCACCAGGATCAGGATCAACAGCAGTGACCCGGCCAACGATTGTACCAGCAGGGCTTGTCCCAACCGCAAAGAACATAAAATATCCCTGAGAATCATATTCTTCTGACGTCTCATTCGATGCCGGTTGAGAAACGAATTGGGGCGCATGCTCGTTGACATCACGGACGTTCACAAACACGTTGACGAATGAAGATACGTGAGTAGCAGAATCCCGCACAACAATCAGCATATAGTGCCTGGTTATTGATTCATGATCAAGAGGATGGGTAACACGAAGATCTCCTAGGTACAAAGCGAAACAAAATTATTGCTGACCGAACTAATTCAATTAGAAAAACGTCTGATCTTGTCGAACTTGACAAGTAGGCTGGGAAGCAAGGTTACAATATACCAGATAAGAGAAAAACAGACAGTTACCCTCCAGTTGTTCGAAGCCACCTAAAGAAAACAGGTTTACCTGAGGCATGGAAAGTGATGTAGGTACTGTAGATAGTGGGATGGCGGAGTAGACAAGCTGTCAAGTAACCAGTTGTCTGGGAGCATTAGTCTAGAGCGAAATTGAACTACATCTATCATGTACAGCGGATTATACGCAGAGGTTGTGGTGAATCACACTCATCCAAACATCCACAATTAAGACTTGCATGGCAGAATAGTGAAGCGCGCAAAATGTCGAAGGTAATAATTAAAGAACCAGGTCAGATTAGGATTCAGCGATTGGGAAGGAGTGAATTGCAAAACACGCACAGGAAACAACTAACAACACGTCTGCCATCGGTAACATGGTGTTGCGTTAGTGGTGTTGGTGTCAAGGTGTACAACCAAAGCGAAAATGAGGCTGCAGTAATCCTCGCCACACCAGTGGCATAACGTAGAACAATACACCCCTATTGCGTTCTCACGAGGATGAAAAGGTTACCACTAATCTTCCCGTTCCAGTCCGCTTCATGACAGGACCGGCCTGAACTTTCACAAGAATGTGTGGCTACAGCAGGTAGAGCGAAACCGTCGAAAAACGGAATGACGAGCAATAGGAATGCACCCACACATGCGCACACGCGCACATCAACACACAGCACCCCGCACCAACAGGTTCGAACGAGATATGCACGAATCGGAATTTTGGTAAAATGCGGTCGCATCAGGGTAAAGAAGAGAAAAAGAACATTTCATTTAAAACCGAGTATCACTAAACGTTGTTTATGTAACACAATGTAATAGTAAAACTTTACACTTGAGGGCGAGATGGTTCAGTGGTTGGAGCGCGAAGGATGATGGTTCGAACCCGACTCCACATCTCGACTTCTGTGTAGGCTTGGACACACTGGCAGTATCCCAGCCCCCGTGATTCCTCCGGGAGGTATACCAGCTGGGTATCAAAAGGGTGTCATAGCTGAGCGATTTTTTAAACACTTATTAAGCCAGCGGAGTCAACCGGAGAAAAACGATGTATAGACCTGATACCATTTCCGGTGAGTAGGTCCGTAGCGAGAGGTTCCTGCATTGATGTTGAAATAGTCTGGTGAGAACTCATGAGATGCCGAGACATGCACCTTAAATCAACATCATTATTGTACAGATCTGGTGACAGACTAAGTTAAACAGTGATTAGGAGAAAAGAAATTGACGGCCAGTGGGAAGCCACAGCCGCTAATACACCACACATCACGCGGTTAAATTGTTATTAGTTATTCTCATTATTATTAGTAGTAGTATTAGTAGTAGTAGTAGTAGCACCTGGGATCTATAAGTGTCGGGTAGCGAATGTGATAGCTCTCGGTTAATTCTACATTTAGCTTGTTACTTTTTACGGCCTCAGGCTACAAGTTGCCAAGCTGTGTATTGGAAACAGGTTCATAGGTCAGTAGGAGTGTGCGCGGATACACTTATTTACTCAGAACTTGAGTTACGTATGAGTACATCATGTGACGTACATTATGCGTTATCCTCATGCCATGGTATGAGGATATGCCCTATGGGTATATTAGGAAATATGTGCACATTTCGCTCACGATAACTTGACATAGTATGAGCTTGGCAAATACGCCAGATCTATTGATGAAAAAAATACAAAGTGAACGGAGCCGAACTCAGTATGAACCCCTAGGATACAAAGTCCTGGGTTACATTTGTCCGGCCGTGTGCCAATGCGGCGTTGTTACACTCCCAATCTGAACTTATATTTGTTTGAAACACGACAGATTCCAACGTATAACGGATGTTCCTTTGGGTGGCACATCAACAGTTATTTTCTCCTGCCTAGAGATGACTAGTTTATCTATGACAAGATAATTTAATTAAAAGGTGTTCTACTCAGTGATGCCTTCGCCAAATATCAGGTACCCAGGACTTCGTTTGGAGGGTTGAATTGGAAAATACAATAGTTCAGGATATTTCGTCACATTTGGCCGCGCTAGATGTCAAAAATAACCTATTCAAGAAAAAACTGTTTATTGAAAAACGGAAGGAGAATTCTCCGAGTAGAGTACTGAGATGGAGTTCCAATGTTAGGATCACTGAATGTCAGCTAACTGCACCAAAAGGCTGGATAATGTACGGAGAACGGTAAGGCCTAAAGTTTTTAAGACTACAAACTATATTGACACGCTTCTGTCATCAAAACAGGTATATCCTACCGGTTCAATAATCCACTAGTCTCATTACCTACTTAGCTGGCATTCACACTCCTATCAGCTAAACCAGCTATCTGATGAATTCAGGTGGATAAGGTCTACGTAGCTAACCATAGATAGCAAATAAATTGCCGTTCAACATACACTTATAGATCACCTGATCCCGATTGAGATGAGAAGTTGTGAGGAACAATCACCGATTTCCTGAATTACTGAACAACCGTGTATGTATTAGTTGTCTTAAGGGGCAGCCCAAACTGATCACTTCTGGAGAATGGTATTCCGGAAGAGACACTTATGATACCATTAGCATTATCAATGATTAGCGAAGAAATAGCTAACCTGATAGTATGCTCTATCAGGACAAAGCTTTCGGAACATTGGCACAAAGGCGATCCATCAGCACCAAAATGAGTGTCCAGTAGGCGTTGCGATGTGGATCTAGACAGTTTGACGAAAAAGTTAAAAGAAACTACGCCCTCGCTCTCACAAAATGAGGAGCGACCTTTACATGCGCACATGTTCATAAGCAAACCAGGAAACACAAAAGGACACAAAGACAGTCTGGATGACCACCATTTTGTGTTAGTTCCAGGTACATGCCTGGTTCACTTAGGCCAATTAAATAAATCCCCTCAATTGTATAAAGGGCATCCTTGTGGGACGTCGAAAGCGACCTTTCTATGGGTATCTATAGGTGACAGGCTATCTTCACAATTTAGAAATGCCTCACTATTGTGTGGCATTGTGGGCATGACGGTCCATGTGCCCACTTTACAACAACTAGATAAATACAGCTGCGCTTCTAAGCACTTTTCCTATTATACTGGGCTTCACCAACAACCCTACGAATAGGAGCATCCTACAAAGAGGGTTTTTGGGCTCTGTGCGCAAAAACCGTTGCATAATAAGGTTACAAATATTTCATTTTTATACGCAATACATCCCTCGGCCGAAAAAGATTATAGCTTTTGTGTGGAAGCCAAATCTCTCAGCTGTAACACCTTCCGGTGCCTAGCTGCCATACCACCCGAAGGAAGCACGAGGGCTGGGATACTGCCAGGTTGCCCAAGCCTAGACAGGGGAAGTCGAGAGGGAGAGGTCGGGTTCGAACCACGAGCTTCCGGTCAGTAAACTAGCGCTCTAACCACTCGAGCCATCTCGACCAGGAGTGAAAAGCTAACCAATAGATCGAAGTTGTTTCCCTGCTTCAACCGTAGTTTCGTTGGGTTCTGATAAAATCTTTCATCTCCGTGGTGTGAAAGACTCGCGTTCAATAATGGTTTACCAGCTGTATGCCTCAATGAACTCCGACCCGATTTGCACCAGAATTCCAATTGAGTCAGAACGGAAACCCGTTTGTATTGCAGATAGTGAGATGAACCAATCCTCCAACACATCGCCAATTCATTCCTCATTTTTACAGGTGACGTTGCGCACCGTACAGCAAAGTAACCAAGTGCTCAAGCTTGGGGGGGTAAGTGTCACACTAACAGAATGTGCTAACTTTTCTATTCGTCAGGTATTAAATTCGTTCCCCAAGTTATCAAGGCCGGCAAGCCCAACTAGTGTAGTGTGAAGGTCAGATGAACTGGGCGCCCATACCACTACAGATGCCTGACGGGTGGTGCTGTTTCGATGTGCAGTGAATGCCTAATAGGGGAGTTTCAAATGGTAAAAGCAGCCGTTCATTCTTGAGGATTGAGCAAGTATGTATGTGATTGACGTAAATCTTGTAGACTGCCTGTGGGAACACTGTTTCAGTAGTTTACATCGTTCAGCTGTAACATCATCTCGGTGCCGCCTGAAGGGGGCACAAGGGCTAGGGGTACTGCCAAGTTGAACAAACCCAGAAAGCAGCAATCGAGGTGCAGAGGTTGGGCTCGAACCACGGACCTTCTGATCCATAAGCTGGCGCGTTAACCGCTGAGCTATCTCGAGCTCGGCTAGCTTATATAGAAGTCGTACATTGGGAAGTACAAAGCTTCGCTGAGGTACGGCTTCGTCAACAGCTAAAGCAGTTCCAGTCCGACTACCTATTCCACTCTATCACCATCTACTACAAGCTACCGAACTCCTGTCAATCTAAATTTATTCGACCAAGGCCAGTGAAACTGCGGTTGGTCATGCGAAGTTTCCGGTGTCATGGCCCTAACAAAACGTTTGACAATGATGACACGTGTGCTCTGGGGAAAACATTAACTGATTCCGCTTCTGATGTATCAAGGAAAACCGGTACAACATGTCCCACAAAAATACTGAACTGTAGAAAAGTTGAAAACTTATAGGTTGCTTTGCTAGAACAAGGGTGTTTACCACATGGTTGAGCGGTCCTTGTTTGGATGTGGTTTCCATAAGGAAATGCATCCACTTCAAACAAAAAATCTCATGAAATGGTTTTCTATGGGAATTACCTTATGGGGAGATGGCAACCATTGTTTAGAATAATTGAATTTATGATGGTGGAACCCGGGCAGTCTGCTAACGTCATTATCTCATCTGCTACACATCTGCACCAAACTTTTAAACAAGCCAAATGTTCCAATTGTCATTAGATCGGGAATCCCGAAATAGGTGTTGTACAGCCAAATCACATACCTCATACCATGGGTTTCAGCATTCTCATTAGTCGGAACAACGATGAACATAACCCAGTTTGTAATTATTTAGGTTAAGCAGAGGGAGTAATACGGTAAGAAGTCACAGATACAAGCATAGGGTGCAGGATAAAGCAGTCACCACTATGAAATACGAGTACTTCGAGTTGACCATGGCTGACTTATGGTTTCCACCTAAGAACTAAAAAGGAAACACAGATCTTTCCATCCGGCAATTCCGAGGTAGACAATGTATTTAGACCAGATCGATTAACCCCGTAACAGTCAAACTCTAAATAAATCGGTCAGGCCAACTGTATGTGATGTCAGAATAGAGTAGCAAAAAGAACGAGTAAAATGTGAAACGCACGGTGCTCGAAGACGTGGGGCAAGAGGAGTTTTCGGTGGGAAAATATCGTGGCATTTCCTACATGAAGAGCAGTCCGTTTTTTTTATTTTTTATGCGATGCACCCTTCATTTCAATTTATTCACGTTAACGTGTAAATCAGTGCATTGACGTAAATTTATTCTGATGTCTCCTTGTAACCCCAAGTAATCGAAATTCAGTTGCTAAGTGCATTTGCCGATTTAGGGATATCTTTTTACATGTAATCCACAATGAAAGAGACTCTTCAATAGTTGAAGTTTAGAGTCAATGACTAGGGGATTATAAGGATTAGGCACCCGTATAGTTTTTTGATGGAAATAGGACGACAATAACGTCTATTAATTCGTGAACACAGCAAAACAAACTGAACGAAGATGCATGAACAAGTAGAAACAATTGTTGAACTATCGTCCACAGTCTCCTAATTCCGGTCTAGCAGAATTTGGCGATAGGCAAATTTTACAGCTCAAAATTCGGAATAATCGGTCAGCTGTAACACCCTTTTGGTGCATAGCTGCGAGGCTGCCTAAGCCTAGACAGTAGGAGTCAAGATGGTGAGGTTGGATTCGAACCACTAACCTTCCGCCCAGTAGGTCCACGACTCAAACTCGGAATGTGAAATACCAGGCAATCGTGGACACACAAGACCAACTGATGATCACTTCATTGTTTCTAAAAAGCATTCACTATTTTGGCAAACGACGGCAACGGTATGCCCGCCAAAGTCACACTATGAAAGCCATAAATTATTTCAACTAAAAGTTTGACTTTTCATATCAGCAAAAGCACAAAGGACTTGGCACAAAAAATCTCCCGACATCAGCACCAATCGGCACAGATTGCCATAAAGAAAAAAACTACAACAGGCTTACGATGTGCTTGTCAGAAGAGACTAGACTGACACAATTCCGCAAATAAACAACTCCAAATAGCTGCAAGCGGCCGGAAGGAGGCTGACGCAACTATCCAAGGAAAACTAGATAGCACGTAGCAGAAAGCCGTGGATAAAATGCAACCTGCCCTACAAGGACAAGACAACAAGAACCACTTAAAAGAATCGCGTAACCAAATTAACAGTCGGGAGGTACAAGAAGAGAACATGTGCAATAAACACGCAACAAAGTGGAGGCGAAACGGCCGAGAAAGGGAGTGTCCGAACAAGTAAAAGCCACCAAAACCACGAACAAACGATAGGATGGACCGGTGCATTAAATGGAAAGCGTTCAATCTCACAAAGCCTGCCACAACACCATAGCACGGAGATAAGCAAAAAAACATACAAACCTGTTTGTTGATTCAAACTGAAGAGCTGGCGTGTTGCGGATTGTCCAACGAAGACGATGCTATACTCCAATGTCCACTGCGTAAATGTCTCCGCATTACTCGGCTCTGTCTGCAAACGGCACAGTAGGCTACCGGCCAAAACCGATTCACTGACATTGATTTGAATCTGAAGTCCACTAACTCCCTGTCCGTAGGACCCATCTTTACAGTCAGTCACCTCCAACTGGGCCACAGAACCCTGAGGGGGCTCATGTACAACAAACCGCGGACGAACTATCTGGAAGGGTTCGACAGTAACTTGGACCTACGAAAAAATACAAAGTGTACAAAATCGTAAAAACGAAAATATGGATAATGGGTGGTAGAACTGGACTGATGATTAGCAAGAGCCACGCAGATAGTGTGCCGAATAAGTACACTCCATGGAGGGAGGAAGTTTTTAATCTCCTGTGAACAGACGAAATTTGAGGTCACCGCTGACCGATAAACTCAATAAAAAACGGGGTTGACTTGATAGAAATCCAAGTATCACAAAATACCCCCAGAAATCGGTGAGGTGACTGGATAGTTGACGTTGCTACATTCTCAGAATTTATCCTACCAACCCAATTAGAAGAGCATGCACATCACAACAATCAGAATTGTTACCTATAGTGGCTTCGCGCGCTGTGTGTGTGTGTGTGTGCGTGGCCAGCACACTTAAACAACCATAGACAGTTATCCATTAACCATTTTTCAGACTTACAATAAATGCACTCAGACTTCTATTTTCTGGAATCGTTTCATGCGATGAAAAGAAGAAGCCGACATAAAAGTGCAGGAGATTTAAGTCTCATCACCATAGACACTATCGAAAACTAGGGAGCCCGTAACAGCAGAAGGAAGCTCAGTCGATTTCTCGTATTAGTCAAGGGTCTTTCCGGTATACCATTTCTGAAAATGCGGTTGATATAAGGACAACTGAGTTTACAAATCTGCTTCTTGAGGTTTCCACCAATACGGCGGATTCTCAAAAGAAGCTGTTCAAGTACAAGAAGAACGATGAGTACCTTTACGAACGGACAGCAAGGGGAAGGAGTCGTGCTTATAAATGCAGAATAAAATATACAAACGGGTTGACTGCACTAAAGGCTTGATCTGATTAATTTCACAACTGAACATTAGGGAAATATGGAGCAAACAAGAACTGTTTGTATGTGTAGGCTATGTGCCACCGGTCAAGAATAGACAACACGTCGAATACCACTAAGCGTGTGCTATTCAACACCGCCACGACCGAAAAGTGTTGCCAATTCTAGTCCTTTCGTGACTTGTTGCAGTTAACAAACATCAAACAAAGGGACTGTCGAACTGAACAAACTGGTGAACAATGAAATATGAAGTCTATTGGAAGTTGGACGACAGCTGGAAATAAAACGGAAAGCGGCGTGTGCGAGTGTACGACTGGTCCGGATGCTACAAGCTTGTATCTAAGATTAGAAAAATGAGATTGCTAGGATACCATACCA